CTAGGTTTCCGATTCCATCCATTCTTCAGCAACTCCAGGATCTATACTCCAATGATCCTACGCCTTCATCCTAAACCTACATCCTTCACTCCTCTTACTTCCTTGCTTCCTTCTTAATCAAACTTAAATGCCATGACTGGTCACACTGTTTTATAACCTGCTCCTCCCTTATTCTATATGTGCCTGCTAAAAACCCCAACCTTGGTAACGTCCAATTCTCCGCCTATATCCATGAAGCTGAATGTGACTAAAAAAAAAAAACATAAAGCACCATGCTGACTGGCCTCAGTTTAAACTCAAGTCACAGACTCAAGTGGGTTCTCGGTGCTGCCCAGCAACACTATCCCATCTCTCTAGTCCATTCTCTCTTCAAGATGACTATTTCGTACCTTCTCCTGTCTCTTCACACCTCCAAAACTTTCTCCCCCATCCTCACTCTCAGATGAGTCTTGCTTCTGATTTCACTGAAAAAAAACAGAAGCAATCAGAAAAGCATGTCCACATCTATCACCCACACCCCGACTACTGACCTACTTATATCTGAGCCCGCAACCCTTGTGTTCCTCTCCTAGTTAAGGCCCCATCCCCCACTTATGCATTATATCACATTCTCTCTTCTGTTCAAGAGACAGAACAGAACCAGTAACTGCTCTCTCTTTCTCCTACATCATCAAGTTTATGCTGAGTCGCTCAGTTGTGTCCGACTCTTTGTGACCCCATGGACTGGAGCCCGCCAGGCTCCTCTGTCCATGGGGATTCTCCAGGCAGGAATAGTGGAGTGGGCGGCCATGCTCTCCTCCAGGATCAAATTTATCCTATCAAATCATTTCATCAATCAATAAAAATGCCATATCTCCTACTTTAAAAACACAAAAAACAAAAACTTCCCTCAACCTCCGATTTCCCTCGGGCTGAGGCCCCATTTTCTTGGTTCTACTTTACATCAACACTCCTCCAAGCAACATCTCTACCTCTTTCCCCTAATTCTTCTCCTCACACACACTCTTAAGCTCACGGTAATCACGCTGCCATGGCCACCACTCCACCAACGCAGTTCTTGTCAAGTCTCCAGTGCAATTTCTATTACTAAATCCAATCTCAGTCCTCCCCGTTCTCAACCCACCAGGAGCCCCTGATCAACTCCTTCTTGAAACTCTCTCTTCCCTCGGTCTCTGGGACCCCACCCTCTCTCGTCCTCCTCCTCCCTCAGTGGCCCCTCTTTGGTTGGCCTCTTCTCATCTCCTTGACATGAAGTGTTGCTGCTCCCGGGCCCTGTTCTCAGACTTCTTTATCTATGCTCATTCCTTACAGGAGAGCCTACAGTCTCATGGATTTAAATTCCATCTACAATGCTTCAGAAATGTTCAACGTTAGCCCAGACCTCTCCACAGACTGCAGATCACCTCATCCAATTACCTGTCCACTCATAGGTCTAATAAATACCTCAGACTTATAGTTCAATATCAAACTTATGATTCCTCCCCCACAGCTCCCCAAAATGTGCTCCTTTCATATACGTCCCTAGCTCATGTGAAAACTCCATACTTCTAAAATCCTGGGTTCATCTTGCCTCCTTTCTTTCATACCCTTCATCCAATCCACAAACAAATCTTGCTGACACTATCCTCACCATAGCCTGAGCCACCATGATCCTTCATCAGGGTTATTGCAACAGCCTTCTCCATATAGCAGACTCTTTTTCATCCCATGCCAGACTTCAGCACAGCTCTGGGGGACAGCTCCAGTCACCACCAATGTTCCCACTTGAAGCATACCATGCAGTCTCAAAGTTTTTTCTTCCACAATCTCAGCTGGTTTGCAACAGAAACCTTGAAGTGCAGAAGAGAAGTTATTGCCTTCAAGGGCAACTGTCAACCAGCTGGGTCAGGAATCAGTGGATATGTACCCCAGGTCCCCACCCTTAGAGAAGAATAGGAGGGAGAAGAGGGGCAAGGAATGAGGCAACAATTCTGTTAACTGAACTCCTGCTTATAAACTTAGCTCCCTTATGGTCTTTTCTCAAAACCTAAGTCAGAGCATGTTACTTCCCTGCTTAAAACCTTCCAGTGGCTCCTTACTGCCTTCTGGATAAAGTCCAAACTGGCATGCCTGTTTGTGCATCCCTTAGCATATGCAGTTAACTCTGGGAAGAGCACATTTCCCACTCTATCATAACAGTCTGTTCTTTTCTCAGTGCCAACCTACAAACTCAAGTCCAGGAGCTGTCCTTAGTGTAAAGCACAGTGTCTGGCAAATAACAGATGCTCAACAAATATTTATGTTTACTGAATGAAAAAATGTCCCTGGGATGCATGACGTGAGACAGTGCCAAGAAAAAATCACCCGCTGGCAACAAGAGGCTGATGAATCCCAGACAGCAAACCCAGAAATAATACTTCATCCACAATTTACTCTGAATGTTCCTATTACTCTCTGATCCTCAATTTCAAAAAGTAGACATGGTTTTGTAGGCTATACAAATGTAAAGCATTTTTACACCATATCCCTATGGTTAAGTTCCAAAATACAGATTCCCTACCTATTACAGTGAGTTTATGGGGTTTATTAGACATATAACATTACTATAAGTTTTTGGTGTATAATTGTCTAACAAAATTGACAACTCCATAACAATAAGGATGATATCTATTTTACTCACTATTATAGACACAATATCTAGCCCAATAAAAACTATTAATAGATCACATATACTAAGTACTTACCATGTTAAAAAGTAATGTTCCTTAACAGGAACCCTTTCATTTCCTCCTCTCAAAACCCCAACGAAGTAGATACTATGATTACATTTTACAGACAAGGAAATAAGAAGGCACTCTCTCAATGACTGATTTTGCTACACTGCCTCTTAGTACCTGGCCCCTTAGTTTCCAATGAATGAAAAATCAGTGTATAGCTTCCCACTGCTAATTAACTATAATCAATGCTGAATCTGGCACCAGACTCTTCAAAGAATATGAATATACCTTTAAAAATAAAGATCAAATGTCATTATATTTCTTTTTCAGAAATGAGCAACACATCATTTCATCTACTTTTGGCTGTTTTATCTCCCTCTTCTTTTCAAATCAACTTCCCTTACTCCAAAAGGCTTCCATAATTATACTTCCAGGTTGCAAATGACAGAAGAAAAGCACATTCTCATAGCATTATTTCCACGTACCGTTGAAGAGACACCCCCAAGTTTAATTGTTTCCACTGTGGTCCCTGAATCTTCGACAGCTGTCTTCTTCTCTGGAGGCACAGATGTGCCAGGCTCTCCAGCTGCTCTTTTATTTCCAATTCCTGACATATTGGCACAAGATGATAGCTGTTTTCCTGGAGAGAAAAAAAAAGTCTTAGGTAAGATAGGCAAGGAGAGCAACTAGAGTCCATCTATGATGTAAAAGCTAGCAACTTTTCCTGTCAATCCTTTAACCCGGGCCCATTAATTCCACACTTAGCTACGATCCTCAGGAACGATCCTCAAGTTCCTCTTGGAAAGAGAAAAGTAAATTGCGAAGTAAGAGTCGCAACTGAATTTACAGAACTACAAAGTTCTAACTAGGATGCTATTAAAATACAAGACAATGGGCAAAGGATGAAGAGACTTAGAAATTTTTCAGGCATCTCATTTCCTGAAATGCCAACATCTGAAAATATAGTTTGATTTAGAAATACAGAAAATTAGTTAATTCTATAGTTGTTGGGAGAATCAGAGAGCTGGAAGAGACCTGGGAGATGTCTACTTAATTATTAACACTAAACAAGCCATATATCATCTCTGAGCTTCAATTTCCTAAAGCAGAAATAACAGCAGTATATGCTTCCTATGCTCCTCATAAGGAATGAATAAGTACAGAAAGACTAGCATAAGGCCGAACACGAAGCATGCTCTCAGAAATGCTAACTCTCCTTTTTATATTTAAAGTTTCTTTATTTCTAAACGCTCTCCTCACGAATTTGTGTCACCCTAGAGAAGCTAGATCTGGGTGTGAATACCAGTACTAACTCTTAGAGAGCCATGCTGCCTTGGAAGGGAATTCTTCATATGCACAATGCAAATGATCAAATACTCTCTCTGCTCTACTCGCCTCCCACGGTTTCGGAGCTCAAAAGAAGCGGAATGGATGCTAAAGCACTTTGCTACTGAAGGTATCAGCCCTGTCATCACCGAGACGACACACAACTCTGCTTCCAACTGAAGCTCCAGGAGAAGGGTATCGGTGGCAGCAACCAGACTGGGACCTCGCCTGGAGAGAGAGGAGGAGGACAATGGCCTCAATCCGACTCCAGAGGGGCCAAGGGCCCCAGCCTTCGGAGAGGCCAATTACAGGCCCGGGAGAAGGAGGCCTTGGAGCGGAAGAGGGTGGAGATTCCCGTTGCCCGCTGAGTCCCGTCCCGCCCTTGGCCGAGATCTGACCTGAGTTCTTCCAACTTGCGCCGCCCGGTAGTGGAACTCGGGGCAGTTATTCACCAAGGTCCGCGTAGCCCTCCCACCTCTCACCCCTACCCCGCAAGTGAAGACCCAGCGAAGCTTCCGGGAGGCGGGGCCAAGGGGAGGAAGAAGGGAAAGAAAAGAGGAAGTCGCTTCAATCTGGCAGCGTGAAGGCCAGGACTCAAACCGGGCGGAAGTGATGCGCATCGAGGGCGCCCCGCCTCCGGAAGTAAGCCCCGTTTAGCATCTCTTGGGCACCCGGAGGCCGCGAAGTCCAGGTCTCGCTGATGTGAGAGGAAATGTCCCAGATTTTTTTCCCGTTTGTTAACTATTGCTGCTGCGACCTGGTTTTTTTTTTTTTACTGTGAAAAGTGAAAATCGCTCAGTCGTGTCCGACCCTTTGCGACCCCATGAACTATACAATCTATGGAATTCTCCAGGCCAAAATACTGGAGTGGGTAACCGTTCCCTTCTCCAGGGGATCGTCCCAACCCAGGGATCGAACCCAAGTCTCCCTCATTGCAGGCGGATTCTTTACCAGCTGAGCCCCAGGGAAGCCCTTAAACCTTTTATTTTATTTTTTTTTACTGAGTACCTTTTATTTACAGTGCCTATTGTTCTGTTACCTATTATTGGTTCTCCCCAGACTGGCGATTGGCTGATGGCCCCGTCAATCCCCAGGGGAAAGGACTAACTTTCAGACACCTCGGAAAAATATTACTGTGAGCCCCTTCTTGTTGAAATGTAAGATTCTGGAGAAAACCCAAGAGATTCGGTAAGTTTAGAAGGTTGTAACTATTACAGGGAAGTGTATGACAGCTCTGTCTACACATTAAAATCACTGGGGGAGTTTTGGTCCCTCTTGTGTAGGGCCTGAGCATCCACATTTTATAAAAAAGCATTTCTCCAGCCCTCCTCCAACCCCACTAGATTCTAATGTGCAAACGGGATTGACAGTTACTACCTTTGTGTATCTTTTCAACAAGATTGACCAGGGAATAGATAAACATAAATCAATAGGTTATTTCTGATCTTAACACTCATCTATTTTAAGCTAATTAAGCATTGATTTTAGTTAATAACAAACTGCTATTTTCCACTCAATTAAACTGAATGTGTTTTAATGATAGGAAGGTAATCAAACTAATTTATTGATGAAAACCTGCATGCCTCACAGAGTTATGAAAAACTACCCAGTAAAGTCAGAATGTAAACAGTGGGAAACAAGCGTTCATGTATCCTGATACTAGAGGTAAAGAGGCAGCTGACTCCAAATGAACTCATTGGGTGAAGCAGAAGCCTGAGAACCATGTTTGGGGACCTGTCAGGGAAAGCAATGTATGAAATGACTCTTTCTGACCTCCCTCCTTTGACTGCTTTGCTCTTGGCAAAGCTTGCATGCACAGAACCACTGAATGGCATGCAATGATTCTAGCCCAAAGTTTGTAAGCTTGAAGTTCACAGGCTGTACTTGGCCGACAAGTATGCTTTGTTTATTTTGGACACTATTGACTGCCTTTTAAGATATTTTAGGACTTCCCTGGCAGTCCAGTGGTTAAGACTCCATGCTTCTAATGCAGGCTATATGGGGTTCAATCCCTAATCAGGGGACTAAGATCTCATATGTCACATGGCACGGCCAAAAAATATATAGATAGATTACCAACTTCTCTTGAAAATGTTGAAGGTCTGGTAACACTAGGTTTATATTTTTGCATGGCCACATTGCTTAGAGCTGAGTGGTTATTTTATTCCTGTTTGATATGATCCTCACTATTGGTTATTGATTCCCTGACAGTAGTTGAATTTCATTTGAGTGTTATCAATGTGTATTGTATTGTGCTAAATCAATCCCTGGTCTAAGAGAATGTTGTTGGTTGCCTACTCAACATCCACTTCCCCTCTCTCACGTTAATAGAACACAACCAGGATTTTATTCATATGATTATTTACATTCACTTAGACCCCTTCATTCCACATGTCTTGAAGGAAGCTAACTTCACTTCCCTCTTCAAGGATTGTCTTAATTCAAATAGTAAGTCCCATTCCCAAACCCAAAGTTCTGCTCTTAACAGTGGATAGTTTATTGGGCTGAATTGCTTGGAATAATAGGACTGAAGCAGTTTACTTATCTTCTGAATTTCTTGTGAGGCCTGAAACTGTTGGAGCCTTCTTGTTACCCAGCTTGATAATGAAGTCAACACAGAGATGGGAAAACTAAAAGAATCTCAGGGATGTTGCTCCAACTGAGTAAATGTTAAAAGACCTACTTAGCTTTATTGAATAATTCATGAATTGGGCAGCATCCTGTTTAGCAAGTAGAGGGGAGCTCCAAAAGGCTATAAAAAGGGAGAGATTTTTAAAGGTAAGATCATGAAGTCAAAGACAAAGATTATTTCAAACTTAGGTAGCGTATCCATAGTGGATGAGGGGATCTATGTGCCCGGTTACTTCATCTTCCTTTCAGGGATGGAAAGGTTTACCTCATTGGTGCTGACCAGAAAATTTCACACTGACCAGTTAGGATTACCTTCTTGGAGAAGATTGTGACTGCTATAAGGTCAGGTATTAAGTCATCCTTTTAGCACAAGTGACTCCATTTTGGGCCTCTCATTCTTTTAACAGCGAAATGGTGCCAGGTCAACTCAGGACACCCCTATTCCATCCACATTTCAGAGTGCTGGAGAAGATATTGAGAAGACAGCAGACCTTATAGAACCTTTTAATTCTCACCATGTATATAACCAGATTCTCCAGCTACTGGTGAGATCTATCTTTCCCAAGAGTTCCAGTCATCTGACACCTTCCCAATAGCCTGTCCTGATTCAAAGAGGTAGCTTCACCCTAGAGAAAATGGAATAGATGAAAGGGAAGATGGCCAAGATCTCTTTCATTGACCATGTTTCCAGTTTCTGATTAGCTGCCACATGTTCACAAGCTACCAGCCCACAATCGTAATCAAGAGAAAATAAGAATAACCCTGGAAAAATAAGTGTGGTCCTCACTACTAAATGGCAGAACGTTTGCTGAGCTATAAGAATATTTGGGGGGAGAGGGGGAAGCTTCCCTGGTGGCTCACGTGGTAAAGAATCTGCCTGCAATGCAGGAGCCTGGGGTTCGATCCCTGGGTCGGGACGGTCCCTTGGAGAAGAGAATGGCAGCCCACTCCATTATTCTTGCCTGGAGAATCCCATGGACAGAGTAGCCTGGCAGGCTACAGTCCATAGGGTCGCAAAGAATCAGACACAACTGAAGCCAACTTAGCGTGCACAAGGACATTTACTATTTTATACCTTTGAAAGTTCTTGTATTTGATTGCTTGCATTAACATGATAATTTACATAATAATCCTTTTTAAAAGGAGCAGAGTCATAAAGATTTCAAGTGATTTTTTCCAAGTTGCTTAATGGCTATTTCTCCAAGGGCCCGTCTTCAGACGTTGCCAGTCTTTGTTAAATGTATGGTTCTGCCACCAGGTGGCAGCAGGCAACGTGCTTTTCACCTCCAGTTCTTAAAAAGCTTTGCTTGAAGAGTACAATATTAACTCTTTGGCCATGTCTTAACTCAAAAACCTGAACAACTAAGTAGCAGAGGCTTAATGCTTTCATAGAGGATAAAGTTAAGATATTTTGGATTTTTGTTTACCACCTTGTCTGTGCTTGCTGCAGATGTTCTGCTATAACATTTTTGTGGTGTCTCCATGCATTCCAGTATTCCGTGTACTCTGGATTGGGTTATTTGTGTGCCAAACATGATTCTAGAAGTCCCTTATTTATCCTATTTTTAGACCAGTTGTATTCTATCCAGCATGACATCACTTGTTAAACAGAAGCACAGATTCCATGGCGTCTGCTTTATACTTGCTGATATCTTAGAATCTTTGGGGAAAATCTCTCTAAAAATGCAAGTTCTTACTTTTTAGATTATGCCCCACCTCTGAGCATGTTTGAGGACCACTGCTCCAAGTTATAATATCCAGTTCTGCCTGAGAGAGTTCTTCAGAAGCCAGCCCTCTCTTGTCCTCTCCCTCCCTTACCTTATCGTCATTCACCATGGCCACAGCCCTCTCCTTCTCCACACCCTGCCTCCTCCTCTCCAGATCACTTGGCCCACTGTGCCACACCAGGCCTAGCCCTCTTTGTGAATTCTGGGGACCATGATCGTGGCTCAATCCAGGGAGGCAGAATCAGGCCTCTCATCCTCAGAGAGTGAGGATAGGGAGTCCCAGCAGGGTCTATGGAAGCATAAGAGCTGACATATGATCACAGGTTGTCAGAAAAGCTCCACTTCTTCTAAAAAGTTATGATCTATGTTACAGTCAGAAAAATTGTCTTTTTATACCATGTGGCATTCTGTGGTTAGATTATGAATAGTTTTATCATTTTGATTTCATTATACATTGGTCCTTGCTCTGACTCCCTCATTAGAGGCTGAGAATTTGGAAAGTTGTAAGTACCCCTACGTAGTACTTCACTTCTCACTTGGTAGGTCCACTATTTCCTATCGCTACTACTAGGTACCTAGCAATCCACCTTCAGGGAGGAAGAACAGCATGACTGAAATGCTTGCATTAGGCATTGGGGTGAGGGTGTGGAACGTAATTACAAAGGTAAGATTTGGAATTTTCATTTCCAGTGGCACAGTGTTTGTCAAACTGGTGAATATGAATGCAGATTTTCATGGCCTTGAAGGGCAAGGGGGATAGGAGACAAAGCCTGGGAACTATCAAGGTTGGGTGCCTATTAGAGACCCCTCCCCATAAAAGTAAACTAGATATAATTCTTCTAACATCCAAGGGACTGAAAGAAAATTGTCTGTCTCTGCCTTTGTATAAAGATTTTTTTGCTGATTGATCTGGAATTCCAGAAGATACTTAGAGTTTCAAAGAATGCAGAGAGGTGAAGGAAGGATACACAAAGGGCAAGGCAAAGCCAACGAGGAATGAGATTGCTCCTGTTGAAGTCCTCAGGAAAAAGAATCTGAGATGGAGATTTGTGTGCAAGAGGTTTAGTACCTCAGGGAAGTGAAGGGAGCAGGATGAGGGAGACGAAGAAGTTGGACTATGTTGCTGTCACTCCAGAGTCCTCCACTAATATGATGGGTAGCTCTAGAACTGGGAAAGCCTTTCAGAGTTGCCCTGAATTGAGTCAAGGAGGCCAGGCTTTTCTGCCCCTGCATCAGTCAGTCATTGGATATGATACTGGGGAAGAGGGCAGGAGCTTGAACCAGGTTTGGCTTCCTTCAGCTAAGTACAGTCTCTGGAGGGGATCAACTCACTGCTGTCGAGGTCCAGCACTGCCAGCAGCTTGGTTCTAATAGGGGAAGGGAGAAATGTAGGCGGCACACCGCAGTATCCACTGATTGAGCCAAGGGCAGGGGTAGTCAGTGCTGGAGGACCCAGAGCCGTGAGAGTTGAAAAAATGTCACTTCAGAGTCTCACTAAGGACATAGCAACCACTCCAGAAGTCTTGCCTGGAGAATCCCATGGACAGAGGAACCTCGTGGGCTATAGTCCACAGGGTCGCAAAGAGTCAGACACGACTGAAGCAGCTTAACGAGAGACACAGGTCTGGGGCTCCCACTTGATTTCTGCAAAAGAAAGGGAGGAGTCTTGCTGAAAAGTGGTCCTGCTCCTGGCAGGTAGACACTCCCTTGACCCCTTTGATGATGGTTTGTAAGGAAATTATTTTACGCTGAGATTATGGCTCTTTTTATTCCTGCAGAGAGAAAAATGGAAGAGCCCGTTTCTCAACACTTTAATAACCCAATGTTACGGACTGAATTCTGCTCCCCCTCTCAAACTCACATGTGTCCCCCAGTGTGATAGTATTTGGAAATGGGATCTATAGCAGGAGCAGGGAATCAGAGCCATCTGTAAATTTAACAGACAAAATCCAATTGAGAGTTCGATATAGTATATTATATTTATAGACTAATTTAGAAAGAAATGACTACTTTCTAATATTTAGTCTTCTCAACCAGGTACATATCTCTTTGCTTTTCTCAAGCCTAATTTTATGTTTCAGTAAAATTTCATGTTTTTCTTCTTGTTGCTTTTCTTTCCTGTTACTTACTAAGTTTATATCTAGATAGTCCATAGGTTTTGTTGATATTAAGAATAAGACTTTTTAAATTATATTTTCCAACTGTTTATAAGTGCTATGTAGGACAAGCTATATGTATATAAATATATATTGCTTTTGATTTAGTTTTATAAAACTCTCTTGTTCTCTTGGATTCCTTTTTTTGGGTGCAGAAAAATCATATAATCTGCAAATAAGAGCTGTCTTGGGGAGTACCTTGGTGGCCTAGTGGTTAGGATTCCAGGCTTTCATTACTGTGGCCTGAGTTCAATCCCTGGTCAGGGAACTGAGATCCCACACGCCACGCAGCCAAAAAAGAACACTAGTTGTCTTTTTTCCTTTTCAGTGTGTGTACTCCTTTTATCCCTTTTCTTATCTCATTATGTTTTAAAGAGAGTGATGACACTGAAGAGTCCCTCTCTCATATATTTTTTTCCCACCACAGGTATTGTCCCACTATGTATATTTTCAGTCCATGCCATCAATATTGTATACTGTCTTTTAGAAGGTGACAGCTGAACTTGCTTGTGTTATATGGCCCTCACTTATTAATCACCATCTGGGTCACCTGTCTAAATTGTATCTGTCTATTAAGGCCCAATTCAAATCTCCATTCCTTAGATGAAGACTTTCCATTTCTTGTCCCAGGGTCTTGCTGCTGAAACCCACCAACTCTGACAATGAAGGTAGTGTTAAAACTTGAAATGGAATGCAAGGAGACAGCTGCTAAGGAACACTAGTTGCTTAACATAAAGCTATCTCCCCAGGTGGTGTGCAGGTGAAGTCACCTTACTTCCTATTCTGGGGCAAACACAAAGCTGATTAGAGTTTTAGGAACGCCTACAGGTGATCAGGACTAAAGAAAGCACTCATTTCCAGACTTCTGTGTAATAGTCTAGCCAGAATGATCTTTTGTTGATTATTTCAATAAGATGATAATTTTCATTCTCTGGTTATTTATTTCTCTTCTTGTAGCTGGTGTGTGCATCCATAGATAACCAGAAAGCTACTTTTTGAACCTGAAATGAAAAAAAGCAGGATTGGGTGTATTATTTCATGGTACTTATCAAGAATGGCTGGTGAAATAATGGTACAACTTCACAATGGAAAATGTATCTAAATTTATAGTACTAACATGAAGCACCATGAGAGTATGACTAGTATACTCTCATTTTCATGAAAAAAAAATTGAGCCATATTTATAACTGAAATGTGCTAAAAGAGGAGAACTTAAATGTTCTTCCCCCCACACACATTTTTTTTTTTATAGTGCAATAATCATTATCCCAGCCCAGGGTATTGTGCTTGTTTATTCAGTTCAACCCCTCAGAGCATATATTTGGGACAGTTAGGTTTCCAAGCACCCCGGGCACCTCCACCTTTGGAATTTATAGGAGTCTCAGGAGAATCCATTTGGACGGAAGTCAGGCATCTTCTCCATTGAGCAGTCAAGAGTTAAGAGATCATTGAAGCCCAAAGAATATATATCATGCAATATTTACATTGCAGGTAGGGTCTTCATTTCAGCAAAACAGCATCAAATGTCACATCAGATATTGTTCAGGTGAATCTTATTTGAGTTTATATTGAGTTTGTAAATATGTTTTGGTTTTATAGCTGTATAAGCATAAGGCATTTATACCAAGGCTATGTTGATATATTTTTATCAAACATTACAATAAAAGTGATTTGTATAAGGACTAGGTGGTCCATGAGAAGCTTATTTTCCTTTAGACAGGTGTCTGTACATTACTTCAGTTTGAAAAATTCTATTTTTATTTAATTGTATATGTACTGTCTTGTATTCATGATTATTACTTATTTCTAGTCTTTTTTATTCTCTTTTAAATTATTCTGAGATCAATAAAGGAGAATTGATATCAATATAACTGGCATAGGATATCAATTTAAACATTCATTGACTAACAAACTACATATATTAATTACATTAGTTACATTCATTTGGATACATTCAGTTACGAATTTCTAGAGCTTAAAGATTGTGGCCAAACTTAGTTAAAAGAAGCTCTCATTGTAGTAGTGTATGGCCAGGAACTTGTGAATGTTTGGAATCTTGCCTTATTGATATTCCTTCTCCACCTCAGGAAGAGTAAGGCTGACAATACTGACCACTCAGTTACAGTTACTACACACTTGTGAAGTCAGCTGAGACTGCCTCCAGCGTCCCAGCTCTTATACAGTCTCTAAAGCTGGATTCCTGAAATGGGATTGCTGGGTCATATGGCAGTTCTATTTCCAGCTTTTTAAGAAATCTCCACACTGTCTTCCATAGTGGCTGTACTAGTTTGCATTCCCACCAACAGTGTAAGAGGGTTCCCTTTTCTCCACACCCTCTCCAGCATTCATTGCTTGTAGACTTTTGGATAGCAGCCATCCTGACTGGCGTGTAATGGTACCTCATTGTGGTTTTGATTTGCATTTCTCTTATAATGAGTGATGTTGCCCACTTCTGAGCATACACGCCAAGGAAACCAGATCTGAAAGAGACACGTGCACCCCAATGTTCATCGCAGCACTGTTTATAATAGCCAGGACATGGAAGCAACCTAGATGCCCATCAGCAGACGAATGGATAAGGAAGCTGTGGTACATATACACCATGGAATATTACTCAGCCATTAAAAAGAATTCATTTGAATCAGTTCTAATGAGATGGATGAAACTGGAGCCCATTATACAGAGTGAAGTAAGCCAGAAAGATAAAGACCATTACAGTATACTAACACATATATATGGAATTTAGAAAGATGGTAACAATAACCCTATATGCAAAACAGAAAAAGAGACTCAGATGTATAGAACAGACTTGTGGACTCTGTGGGAGAAGGCGAGGGTGGGATGTTTCAAGAGAACAGCATCAAAACATGTATATTTTCTAGGGTGAAACAGATCACCAGCCCAGGTTGGATGCATGAGACAAGTGCTCGGGCCTGGTGCACTGGGAAGACCCAGAGGGATCGGGTGGAGAGGGAGGTGGGAGGGGGGACTGGGATGGGGAATACATGTAAATCCTTGGCTAATTCATTTCAATGTATGACAAAAACCACTGCAATGTTGTAAAGTAATTAGCCTCCAACTAATAAAAATAAATGAAAAAAAAGTAAAGCTGGATTCCTGCTCCTGTTACCTCCGTATTATTTGTGCACTCGGCCAACTCTTCTCTCTCCTCCTCAGAACCTCAGGAAACACTCTGACCTTACACATGCACATACTGGCTATTGTGAACTTAAGCTGATGTGTTATCTCTTACAAGCAACTCATTCACATTTGCAGTTTGCTTGATCTTTACTGCAGGATAATGGTATTATTTCTTGTTGAAGATGTTCACAAAGCAAGAGGCACATGATCTTACTTGGAGAAGGTGAAGAGAGTTCAGATGACATCCCTTCCCTGTTCTTCCTCCCAAGCATAGTTCTGGTAGGTAACACTTACCTTTCAGTAATGGATTAAGTTGTCATGCCTTACTTACTGAACTAAAACCTCTGTGAACAACAACAACAAAAAGGACCAAGGGTGTCACTCATGATCTAGTTATACCAAGGGTTAAGTCACAGTCCACTGTAATTGCCCAACAACAGTGCACCCTGAGAGGAATCAAGATGCAAAGACAGGATGGAGCATTCTCTTATTTTGGAATGGGTCCCTAGATAGTTAAGATGCATACCTCAGAAAAAATCTCAAAGATCTCAGGTTCTTGCATCTTCCCATACATAAAAAAGCACTAAATTCATTAACTTCAGATATCTGTTCTTTGTGATTAACAGTAATCTGTTATGGAGATATGTGCTTGACATCATGTATTTCCTAGCCCCAAAATTCATATATTTACTGGCTCCTCCCCTATCTCCTTGGAGCAGTTCCTCAGCGCTGAGAGGCTGCTTCCCAGGCTATGGTCCTCAGTAAGTTCCCTGAGTAAAACGGAAATTCACAACTTTTATGTTGTATATTTTTCTTTCAGTGGACAATTTTGGTGACCATGAAGGGACTTGGAGCTGATTTCTCTCTTTCTGCTGAGTTCTATGAGGATCCAAAGCCTTGGTACCAGCAAGGACCTCTTGTGCCCATCCACCTCCACCAGGAGTTCAGACAACTGGGTATGTCTCTCCTGGGTCTCAGACATCTCATCTTAGTTAATAAATTCTTTGCTGTAAGGAGTGGCGTTTCCTTGAACTTGAGGCAGTTCAGGAAAGAGGTACCTTGACTTCTTAGTTGAAAGATACTGGGAAGACTTGAATTCTCCATTGAAAGACATAGAGTAAATTGACCAATTAAAAAACCCTGGGAAGGTTTGGACTGGGTGATCAGCTAAGGGGATGGCATAGCATTTTCCCTTAAATTGGCTACTTTAACAGAGTTTATAGAACTGAAAGTGAAGATACCATATAAGAGCTTCAAGTTCTGAAAGGAAGTCATAAAAAGCTCCTCCAAATTGGTTGCAGCTTTCTGAGGGAACTGAGAAACTTGTAGGAAGGGTATAGTCTTCATACTATGCAGCAGTGCATAGGGAAGCCCACTCACTAAAAACTCACTTATCCAGGGACACACACACACATGCACATAAGGATTGGCCATCAAGAGCTCGAAGTGCCCACAGCAGTTTTACACTGCCAGAGGGAAAAACTGAAACGTACAAGAGCTGAAATGACCCTAGGCTCATACCTAGAGAAGCTTAAAACTGTCCAACCACACAGTTTTCAATAGTAGTTTTATCCTACCAAACCAACTGGAAAGGCTCCCTCCCTCCCACAAAATCTAATTCATAAAGAGCTTTTTTTAATTGGCTTAGAAATAAGTGCTTTTAAATTAAATATTTCTGAATGCGATAGAAACTAAGGCAAATTTTTTTAAGAACATGTGCTCTAGGACTAATCTTTGGTGAATAAAAATGAGTTTGTTTATTTAATGAAATAGGCCTGGGACTTCCTTGGCAGTCCAGTTGGTAAGACTCTTGAGCTTCCAGTGCAAGGGGTGTGGGTTCGATGCCTGGTTGGAGAACTAAGATCCTGCATGCTGCACAGTGCAGCAAAAGATTTTTAAAAAAAGGAAGAAGTAAAGAATTTTTTTAAAATGAAATAAGTCTCTCTTTAGAGTTGACAGCCTTAAATGTAAAACTCCTATTGTACCTAGGTTTACTAAAAGTCAGATTTATGTTTTCTCTGTTACAAAAGTTTTCAGCAACAAAAGTAACTTGGTATAATGATATTTTCATAAGTAAATTAAATGCAAGTCAGGTAAGAGTTTTTGAGGGGCTTTCCTTGTGGCTCAGCGGTATAGATTTTGCCTGCCAAGCAGTAGACACAAGTTAGATCCCTGAGTCAGGAAGATCCCCTGGAGAAGGAAATGGCAACCCACTCCAGTATTCTTGTATGAGTGCATGCTTTAAGAAATTATGCCCATCAACAGATGATTGGCTTAAGAAGATGTAGTATATATGTACAATGGAATTTTACTTAACCATAAAAAAATGAAATATTCCCATTTACAGCAACATGGATGGGCCTAGAGAATATTAAATTTAGTGAAGTAAGACAAAGGCAAATATATGATATCACTTATATGTAGAATCTAAAAAATAATACAAATGAATATATTTAAAATAGAAACCGTCTCATAGGCAGCAAATTCCATTACCAAAGAGGAAAAAGGGGTGGAATAATTATTAATAGGAGTACAAGATTAATGGATACTACACACAAAATAGATAAGCAGCAAGAATTTGCATAGCATAGAGAATTATATTAAATATCTTGTAATAACCTAAATGGAAAATAATTACATATTTATATAATATGTAACCTATAATGGAAAATAATGATATACATATATGCAGATAAATTGAATCACTTTGCTATATACCTAAAACTAACATGAGACTGAATCAGCTCTACTTCAATTTAAAAAGAGAATAGAACTATGATATGATCCAACTGTTCCACTTCTGAGTATTTATCTAGAGAATAAAAAACAGTAATTCAAAAAAATATACACATCCCATGTTCATCACAGTATTATATACGATAGCCTAGATATGGAAACAACTTACATGTCCATTAAATGAATGAATAAAGAAGATGTGGTATATCAGTGAGACGTCAAGTTTGCAGCAAAGCAAGGAGATGGGAGAACAGGTCTCAAAATCTCTTCCAAGAAGGCAAGGAGCTCAGGTGTTTATGGGACAAAGAAAAAAGAATCAGGGCTGTCTGAGGCTTGGAGAGTGGGGAAAGGTAATTGGAAAAGATGTGATAAACATCGATCTACTCAGGTGTAACTAAGCTATAGGCCTCTGCAAATTCAAAAGGTCACAAGTGCAGGTGCCCATGTGTGCCCAGTTCAAGGGTGATAGTCCTATCTAGTCCTAACCAGCTTAGCACAAACTAGACATGCCTAACTCTTGGCTCAGCTCAACCTAGATGCCACTGACTCCAAGTTCCTGGAAAGCAACTCGGGCAAATATCTTTTTTTAAAAAAATACTATTTATTTATTTCTATCTCTGATCTTTGTTGAGGTATGCGGGATCTTTTAGTTGCAGCATGTGAGATCTAGTTCCCTAACTAGGGATAGAACCCAGGCCCCCAGCATTGGGCGCATGGAGGCTTAAACACCAGACCACCAGTTAAGTCCCTTGGGTTTCTTGTTTAGGTTACATGCTGCTTAGAGGATGTGGAAGTCTTAAAACCTTGATGAGGGAAGGCCAGTGAAATGTATTTTACCCACAGTTTCAAAGGAAGCCTGGTGTAGAATAGTGACTCCATTTCTGTGAAATATCCAGACTAGGCACATCCACAGAGAGTTCACCAGCAGTTGCCGGGAACCACAGAGAAATGGGCAGTGACTGCTCACGGACACACAGCTTCTCCTTTGGTTGATAGGACTGGCGGTGGTGATGGTGACAGTTTGTTAGAACACTGTAAACCACTGAAATGCACTGGGGCTTCCCAGGTGGCACTGGTGGTAAAGAATCCGTCTGCCAATGCAGGAGACGCAAGAGATGTGGGCTCAGTCCCTAGGGTGGCAAGATCCCCTGAAGAAGGAAATGGCAACCCACTCCAGTATTCTTGCCTGGAAAATCCCATGGACAGAGGAACCTGGTGGGCTACAGGCCGTCTGGTCGCAGAGAGTCAAACATGACCATGCACACATGGACTGAAATGTACGCTTTAAAAGACTGGATTTTATGACATTAATTCTATCTCAAAAACACAGCATTCGTGAGGGGAAAAAAGATGTGGTATGTATATATACAGTGGAATGCTACTCAGCTATAAAAAAAAAAGATGAGATCCTGCCATTTACTACAACATGGATGGACTTTGAGGAGATTATGCTAAGTGAAATAAGTCAGAGAAAGACACATACTGTATGATTTCACTCATATGTGGAATATAAAAGTAAAATGAAAGCAAAGCAAACACATAGCTAGTGAGACCAAAGTACTGGTCACCAGAGGGGAGGGGTATTGGGAAAGGGTGAAATGGGTAAAAGGGACCAAACAACTGTATGATGATAAATGAAAACTTTTTGTGCTAGGTACCACTGTAGTGTATACAAAAGATAAAACATAATATTGTACACATAAAACTTCTACAATGTTATAAACCAGTGTTTCTTCAAGTTTTAAAAATCTTTCTGAGGTCTTTAAAAAATTTTTATTTTACAGTATGTCTATATAAATAGTTTCTCCAAATCTTTTTAGTAATTTAAAACTAGAGTTTTTCTAAAGTAAGCTAAATGACAGAAGTTTATTGAATATCTGGACCTTTTCCAAATAAGATAAAGTAATGAAACATTAATTGTTGAACATGTCTAAATTTACTTACTTTCATCCTCTTTTAAGATTAAAAAAACAAAGATGTTTGGGTTTATTGAACATGTATACCACATATAGGAGAGAAATAATGCTATGAGAAAATCTGTGTTTCTGGAGGTTGTAGAATATGTTCATAAGTTTGCAAATCTGTAGATGCTAGCATGACAGTTCACAATTGCTTGCTTCTTGGTTTTCTCTAGAGGTTAGAGGTTGTAAGGTTGAGAATTCTGATCAATACATATAACTGGAACTACTAATATTGATAAGGAAAGCATCATCATATGCAAGGGGAAAAAAAAGTAAAAGGATTGTAATGTATTTTGTTAAGGGAAAAGAAAGTAGTTTTGTCCTAAGAGAGGTTTAAAAAAAATAGAGAAAATGGGAAATCTTGGGACAAAAATCTGAAGGTAGAAACAGGAAGTTATAGATTTGTTGAAAAGAATCTCTAAGAAGAGTTTTGTATGTGATTAGACCTGGAGAACATTGTAATAAATTTAATCAAGTGAATGTTTTAATATTAAAAGTAAGCTGGTACAAATCTAGAATTTGGTTTTCTCTCTGTTAAGCTAACAAAATTTTCTTGGAAAACTAATCTGGTTTTGAAAATAGATTGTAAAGTTTCTCTACCTTTTAAGTGTCCTGTTATAACTTTCTGTAGTTTACTTTTGAAATCTTTTATTATCATTTTGGTTAAATGATTAACTATCATTTCACAGTGGCTGTGATCCTGTTTGACCAAGTGTTTTAAAACCTTTTGTTATCTTTGACAAACCTCCCCAAATCGAATTCTAAATGAAGTCCTTTTGATCTCTAGCAAACTTTGGGGTGTTTCAAGAGGGCCCCTGAAACATCTCAAAGAGATATTAAATTAATGAAGCTTATTTGATATGTTAAATAATGTGGAACACATTGTAAATAATGATAAGCTTTCCTAGGTTATACTGTATAGACAAATAATATAAACATTCTAGAAGCTAAATGAAATTCCTAAAATTCAGATATGTTCTGGTATGTTGTCAGTCATAATTCTGGTCATTATCTTAAAATTTGGTATGTCACAGAAAAATAAAATCTTCCCCTTCAATTGCATTTTAGTCATATCTTTAACCATGCCACTTAAAGTCTTTTGTCATTTATAGACAGTTGTTCTTTTACTCTGATGCCTTTACAAAAATGAAGCTCTTCAAGAAAGTTAATGGAAGACCTTTTGACAAGTGCAGATTTCTGATAACTGTCAGATAATACCACTGAACCAGGTAAGAAATTCCAAAACTCTGAAGGAAAAACTTTATGACTTCATAAACTGTTAACAGAAATTATGATCAACAAGAATTAGTTACACAGGGCTGAACAATCATTTTTATGACTTTCAGTCTGAAATGTTACTGTCTTTTAATCTTCCTTTTCCAGATATAAAGAAAATTTCCCCCTTAAGCAGTTTGGTAAATTATACCTTTTAAGCAGAATTGAAACACTTATCTTTTTCTCTCTACCTTATCCCTCCAGAATTTGAAATTCTTAGTATTCTTATTTTTATGGCAGTATAGTTATTTGCATAAGTTCAAGAAAAATCTGTTTTCCTTATAACAGGACACAAATGGAAGCACTGGTTATATCACCAAGGCTTTGACTGAAATGTGAGGTTTGAGAATTACATAAAATCAGATATAACCAGACAACTTCCGAGAACTAAAATGGACTTTATGGAGACATTTCCTTAGAAAAACAGACTAATACCTTGCTCACAGAGTTCCCAGCAACCTCACCAGGTGACTAAGAAAGGTCACTTCCTGGCAGGTGTAAGAACCTCAAGATATTTGGGGGAAATTCAGAAGAGAGAAATTCACCCAATTCTATAATTGTTACAGTCAGATCTCATGGCAAGTCTTTGGAATGATATTCCTGGCCTCAGGAGGCTTTCAATAGTCAATCTAAGATTCCTTATAGAAGCATTATCAAAGCACATTGACCAGAGTGTAAATGATCAACCGCCAGTCTTGTTAAACTAATGTAAACAATCAGGTCCAATTTATTGAAACTAGACTTACATTGCAAATAAATTAGTCTTAATTTGGCTATATTTGGTAAAAATTTGAGTAACATTAGAGAAGAAATTATTTTAGTGGATATCAAGTTCTAGTGCTGCTAATTTTATTTCAAGTTAGGTAATTACTACCTAAACTCACTTCCTAGATGGGTCCTTATAGCTCTGTTACATTACAGAAAAAGTTCATTGTTCATTCATTAAAATGAATGAAAAAGTTCATTCATTAAAAGGACATTGTAAGTTTATTTATGCTATTCAATGATAGAAATATATCTTTGGATAAAGATATCTTAAAGGAGATCAACCCTGAATATTTATTGGAAGAACTGATGCTGAAGCTCCAATACTTCGGCCTCCTGATACAAAGAGCCAATTCATTTGAAAAGACCCTGATGCTGGGAAAGATTGAAGACAGGAGAAGGGGACAACAGAGGATGAGATGGTTGGCTGGCATCACCAACTCAGTGGACATGAGTTTGAGCAAATGCCAGGAGATGATGAAGAACAGGGAAGCCTGACATGCTGCAGTCCATGGGTCTCAAAGAGTTGGACACGACTTAGCAACTGAACAACAACCTAGATAGCTCTTTATTGCTGTATTACATTATAGCAAAAGTTCAATTGTATTATTAAAAGCTCAATTATCAAAATGGTAAGTTTTTTCTGCTTTTCAAAGATAGAAACATCTCTGGACAAAGATCAGATACCCAATAGCCTACAAGCAGGAGATTATATATACCCTGGAAAAGACATCATTTAAAGGACTCTCTCCTGATAGATGGGAAAGCCCTTACCAGGAACTTTTAACTAGCTTACTCACAACAAAACTGAAGGGAATTGACTCTTGGATTCACATTTCTTACTTAAGAAGTGCCCCTAGCACTGGTCTGACTTACAGAGAGGAATGCTGGTCTGAAAGTCACTGTAAAACAATGCTCAAACAGAAATGATGCCCACCCCAGGATGAGAAGTTGACATCAGAAGTAGATGGCTATCCCAAGATGAGGAACATGACCTATAGAGTTAAGAGTGTTTTCTTGATTTGTTGAACTTTTGCATAAATCATTTATTTTTTCTGTCATGAGCATGATCCTATGCAGACTTAAAAACCAATCCAATTGTTGGGTTTGTGATCAACTGTCTATGTCCATTACTTCTGGTTTACCTTGGTGGGTTTTTCCTCAAGGTTCTAATGGAATGGCTGTTAGAAAATTTATTTTAGGAGAGTGGAATTGTAGTTTTGTTTGGTCCACTATATTGATATTACTAGATGGGATCTGTTGACTTAGCTAATCAATTGCAGTTAGGTTTTCAATAGGGTCTAATACAGACATAGCACACAAACGGCCTATCAGTGAAATCCTTGCCTTACCTCGAGCGTTCCTAACACCATGGACAAAGTGAGCATGAACCTCAGTCAGATATATTACCAGAGTGGGGACGCTATGTACTAAAAGGAATGAAGGGTGTCTCTCATCAGCCAGCTATAGAAAGCGTTAAATTGCAAGCCACTGGAATTTCCCAGCAACATTGCACCCTGCAGAGAGTGCTGGATGGAAAAACAGAATGAGGCATTCTGTGCTCTGAATAAAAGGACCTCTAGATAGTTAAAGTACATATCTCAGGAAAAATTTCGATGATCCCAGATTCTGGCATCTTCCCATACACAGAAGAGTACTAAAAACCATTAACTTGAGATAATTAACTTGAGATATCTGTTCTGTGTGATTAACAGTAACCTTTTACCAAGACGTATGCTTGACTACATGTATTTCCTAGCCAAAAATTCATCTATATATACAAGCTCCTCCCCTGCCTCTGCAGAGCAGTTCCTCAGAGCTGAGAGTCTGCTTCCCAATCTATAGTCCTCAGTAAGTTCCCTGAATAAAACTGAAATTCACAATTCTTATGTTGTGCGTTATTCTGTGGTATCCAGTTAGCCACATGATCACAAGGGTAAACAGCCAATATATTTATAACCATTATGTACCCATACAAACATTCTGTTTCTCACTTTTAGTACAATATTCAATAAATTACATGAAATACTCAGCACTTTGTTTTAAAATAGACTTTGTGCTCATTTTTCCCAGCTGTAGGCTAATAAAGTGTTCTGAGAATGTTTAAGGTAGGCTAGGCTAAGCCTTGATATTAGGTTACATGTTGTAATGCATTTTCAACTTATGATATTTTTCAACTTCTGATGAATTTGTGAAGATTTAACCCCACTGTAAGCTGAGGAAGATCTGTATTCTAAAGAAAAAAATCAGATAATTGTTTAAATCTGATTGTACAAAAATATTTATCATAGCATTATTTATAAATATGGTATATCCATAGTATAGAATTCAGTATAGGCATTAAAATTGTGATATGAAATTGTATTTCTTAACATGAAGTAAACTTACTTCATTGTATTGTTGAATGGGGTAAGCAGTTTATAGGAATATGTATGGCATTCATTTTTATAAGTAGGATTTAATGTTAGTTGTCTCCACTTTCAGTCTCTACTTCATCTGCCATGCACTTCACTTTCTAAATCAAATATTTTAATTTACTAACTATACATATCAGTAAATATGAAAAAGATTTAATATATAGACTGAGTAGCAAGCACAAATCTAGCTATTTTAAGAGGGGGCATTATTGCTATTGTTAAAAAGCATTCCCTCCCCTTACAAAAGAGAAAGTGAATATGAGTCTCGTTTATGCTAAAAAAAAAAAATTGAGGCCTATTATTAAAAAGTTTGAATTTATTTGAGCAAATATCAACTGAAATTGGTCAGTGCCTAACAAAAACATTAGGAGCACTATGCAGAAAGGGGCACTTGAAGAAACTTTTGTAGACAAAAGATGGAGGCAAAGTAAGAAAATTGTTTTTTTGTTTTTTTATGGCAATTATTGGTTAAGCTATAGCTTAAAACCTAGTTGACTGTGATTGGTTGTCCTTAGTGTTTTGATTTTGTAACCTTGAGGCATTTACAGGCTTAGATCTTGGTTTGCTGATGTAGGCACCATGGCATAAGAGCTGCCTCAATCTAATGCCCTCCCTGCTATTTCATTTAAAAGCTTCAGAAGAAGTCTAAGGTGAGTCCTGAGAAACACTGTTTACGTGGCAGTCACTGGGCTGGATACCAGACTTGCCCAAACAAAGCTAGGACCTCAACAATAACTTACACTAACCATATAAAGTCCCCCATCATATTAATTGCTTCTGTCGAAAGAAAATTCGGAGTATTTAATTTTGTATGAGTATTGTATTGAGCAAGAAACAAACTGTTCCAAAACAAGGCATGTGTGCTCAGTTGTGTCCAACCGTTTGAAACACCATGTACTATAGCCCACTGGGCTCTGTCCATGGGATTCTCCAAGCAAGAATCCTGGAGTGGGTTGCCATTTCCTCCTTCAGGGTATCTTCCTGATCCAGGGGTCGAACCTGCATCTCCTGTGTCTCCTGCATTAGCAGGCAGCTTGTTTACCACTAGTGCCACCTGGGAAGCCTGTTCCAGAACAAGGAGACTTCCAAACTGAAGGTAAAAAGAAGCTCAGTTCTCAATAGCTGTAGTTCAGCTTATAAAGCATGAAAAAGCATATTGTTTTCTATTGTGTCGGTTACTGGAAAATTACAGTATTCCTTTTCATTGCATAAGTTTACATATCTGTAACTGATTTGCTGGAAAGCTGTAAGGTCATGCTGTGAGACCATGAAGAATCTTCAGTTTAGTTTAAAATCAGAGTATTTTGGGGAAATCAGGACACACAGATTGTTATAATCATCAAATACTATATGATGATGAAACAAGCCTTTTACAAATTCAATATCACCAAGAATTTTTGCAAAGAGAAGACTCTCAAAATGGCCAAAAAAGAGTTAAACACAGATTAACTCTTTTACTGAGGCAATCTATACATCAAAATTTATATGGAAAAAGAAGGCAAGCACTATTTGGAATACTCTCAGTGCTTTTTTAAAAAGAATATACTTAATTCTCAATGTTTCTAAGATTTAAATTATAATGTACTAAATAAATGTTAGCTTGACTATTTTTTATTTCCTCATATATTTATAACCAATAGAGAGTTTTTAAAGTGTTGGCCAAAAATGTTAATGCCATAGAATAATCATAAGTTTTCAAATTATTTAAATGGCTTTGTATGGTTTCAATTTGCGTAGTCATTTTTAGTCCACTAGTATTCAAAGTGAGGACTACGTGTACTTGAGATTTTTGTCTTGCCCCCATATTGAATAAGTTGGCTGGATATAAAATTCTGTGTTCTCAATTTTCCTCCTTTAATAAAGCTCTATTCCGTTGTCTTATTGCATCCTTGATTACTGTTGAAAAATCTATTCATAATCTGATATTTGTTCCTTTGTATCTGATCTGTTCTTCTCTGTAAGCTTTTAACACTTCTCTTCACCTTTCATATTTTAAATATTACAAAAATGTGTCTTAACTGTGGGTTTTCAACCTCTGCTATTTAACAGGCTTTCCACCTTTTTATAATATCAAAGTCCTATCTTTTTTTAAAAAGTATTTTCTCCTCTACTGTTTTTCCCCTCTTTCTGGAACACTTGTTTGTATCTGCATGTCTCAGATACTCTTTTATATTGTCCTTTCCCACTTCTTTCTGGGAAAATTTCTCAATCTGGTCCTTTTTGTTACTATTTTTTTTCCCCTCAGCTTTATTCTGCTGTTTCACCTATTCTTCATACCCAGCATTTCTCCTTAATTCTTGTTTTACATCTTCCTGTTCTTGTTTCATTTTATTAGTATCTCTTTTAGACTTCCCTGGTGGCTCAGATGGTAAAGCATTCTGCCTACAATGCGGGAGACCCAGGTTCAGTCCCTGGGTTGGGAAGATCTCCTGGAGAAAGACATGGCAACCCACTCAGTACTCTTGCCTGGAAAATCCCATGGACGGAGGAACCTGGTAGGCTATAGTGCATGGGGTCACAAAGAGTCGGACATGACTGAGCGACTTCACTTTCACAATGTTTAGTGTATATAAAACATCCAGTCTG